CAATTAAAAATGGGGTGAACTGGGGAATTGGCTTTGCAATCGGTGACACCGACACTAAAAATTGCTTCTTAAAATGCCTTATTTTCCAGATTAATGAGGAAAACTTCACTTTTGTTACTTTCAAGACAGATGATTCTATCAAATGGAAGCTCATGTATTCAATAATTTCTTTTTGAGGTGAGATTTTACTTTTCAAGTAACAAGGGCCATCAAATTAACAATCAGTGCGAGAGACTGACATTTTTTAGTAGCCCGGTTTTCAAAAAACCAGGTATAAATATTAAATTATTATTATTACTATTATTATTATTATTATTATTAATATTTGTTTTATCAGCCAATGGATGAAAAGGTCAAAACATGGCCTCTTCGTTTTCCCGCCAAAAAAAACCCCTAATATGCAGAAGGCATTGTTCGATTGGCCAATCGTGTTGCAGTGTGACGTCAAAACGAAGTATCGATTGATTTCTAGAAAGTTCTCGGGCATGAAGTTTTTTCACCCGAGCGTTCGCTTAACCAGCCAAACGCCACGCGCGTTTATATCCGTTCTATAAACCAATCAAATCGCTCTATTTTCGTTCGTCTGTTGTTTCTGTTTTATTTGCGCGTTTTCATTTCAAGGTCATACGAAAATCGCTCTATCTCTTTAAGGTACCTTTCCATTGTTTTGAACAGGTTGTTATTTTCAATAAAAGGAAGGGCAGGTCAATGACGTAGAACCTCACGCTCGCTCCTCTGCCTTCTTAAAACTTGAGAAGGTCTTGGAGCTCAGGCATTATCCTATATCTCAGTGATAGACTAAATAATGTATAGAAAAATTAGCCTGTGGAAAGAAGAAACTGTGATGACAAAGCGTATTTTAGCATAACAAATGAGTTGTTGTCTTTTGTTCACGTTGTCACGCCTTCATGGCACAGAAGAGAAGTACTTCAAATTTGTGGTTTTGTTAAAATTCAATTAAACCCCCAAGAAGCGGGGGGGGAGGGGGCGGGTATTCCTGGGAATTCTTGGTGGGGGCGTGCCGCCCGGTTCTCCAAATCCTGACCCCATTTCAGACCAAAATATGTCATTTTCTATACCCGTTTTCAGACCTGGCCTCTAAAATGCATACTCGTTTTCAGACCTGCCATATTAGAAATTATGGTATCATTACTTAGATTAAAAGACCAACAAAGATATTTCTTAAAAGCCATTTTGAATTCGTGTATATTTTCATTTAGAATTGAAACGACAAATATATATATATTCATGCTCTGCCGTACCTGGAAAATCATACCCGATTCCAGACCAAAATGGGCAGAATGTATGGCACGAAATTTTACACGAAATTGTACACCTGGCTGGAGTTAAACACAATACGCACTGGTGTGGAGTTTGACTTTGGCTTGACCACAGCCAGATGAGGGATGTAGGATAAGAGACCAAACCATTTCTGTATCGCCTCCTCAGAGAGCTTTCTAGCAACACTGCCATCCAGGATATCCTCCAGCATATCCTCCATCTGTCTCCACCCACTGCTTGTCTTTGCTGAGAGTTTGCTCTGTCTTCCTAAGGGGAGCTGCATGATAATTGTTTGGTAGGGTGGATGGGTCCACTAGCCAAGGAGAGCTTGTTACCCAGCACTGATGCGCTATATCATACTCTAGATTCTCAGGAATCAACATGAACTCTTGCTGTTCCTTGAACGAATAGGTGTGACCAACAACTGGACACTTTCCACAACGACAACTACCACACCTCGGTGTGGTTTCTGTTCCTAGGTCTTCACCACAAATGAAGTTTTCCACTTTTCGTCTTACATACCTCCCTATGAGGGATTCTATCACATTTGTCTGATTTTTGGAGATAACATGCTTTTCACTGTTATTAAACACCTCCACTGGGGAAACACAATCAGGCTGAAATTCTGGGTGAGTGTGAAGATATGCCTTGCATGCTTCATGTTTAATCGCTGAATTGTGAATTGTACACACATTGTCCACGTAAACATAAAGTCAATATTTTTAACCGTTTGCCAAAACAGTAGTTGTTAATCAAGCGTACCATAGTCCCCATACACTTTACACACTAATGTGTCGGTATGCTTGTTTATAAATGGCGATTCGTCATCATCCTCTAAATCATCCTCTTCAATAATGTGCAGGTCGTTGCATTGCTCTTGTATCCCTATTGTTTAGGAAAATGATGGGGAGAGGAGGGGGGTGCTTATTGTAGAGGATCGCTTGTTTGATATTATGGCCCGAGGGGGTGGGTGGGCACTTGTAAGATCAAGGGCTTGCGCGCTTGTTCGAGGGAATACGGTATATGTGTGTGACTGAAGGTGCCAGTTGCGAAGCACAGGATTTTAGAATGCCAGAAGAAGGGTAAAGCCCTGGGGATGAGGTTGGAGTGCAAGGCGAGCTTCTGTCGGCCCCAGGGGACTTGTTTGGATTAAGGTTTTGAATACCGCATTATGCAAATGACCTCACTAGCTGAAAACTTTGTAATGTTTACGAGTTTCTTGGCAACAACATGGTCAATTAGTCTGTACATTTACTCCAGTTCTTTCCCCCTTCCATCCCTGGCATTTTATGTCCCCCCCCCCCCGAGCTTCGCGATACACGTATTTCTAGTTAATATGTTAGTCACGGGGTTCCAAATACAGGGCAAATGTAAATTTGTTCGAGTTAAATACTCTTCTTCTCATTTATAATCTGTTATTGTAAAGTTTTGAATTTTTTCTGCGAACGAGTGTCAGCTGAAAATCAAACATTGAGAAAGGTTAAAAGTCAAAATCTAAACTTGAAAAAATCTACATTTGAAACTCCACGAATACC